AATTTCCTTTTATATAAAATTATTGATTTTTTTAATTTTTGAAAAAAAATTGTATCTATAGAAAATTTTCGACGACTTTTTTTCGTTTATAAAACATTTTTGACAAATTTGTATTTGTAGAAAACTTTCGACGAATTTCTTATTTAAACGAATTTATTTTGATAAATTGTATTTTTAAAGAAAATTTTCGATAAATATTCTCTTTAAAGAAATTTTTCGACGAATTTTCATTTAAAAAAAATTTTCCAGTTTTCTTTTTATAAAAAGTTTTTGATAAATTTTCTACTTAAAGACAATTATTGACGAATTTTTTAATTAAAGGAAATTTTATGCGAGTTTTCTATTTAAAGATAATTTTTGTTAATTTTTTATTTGAGAGCAATTTTCGACGAATTTTCTATTTAAAGAAAATTTTCGAGAATTTTCATTTAAACAAATTTTTGCTCAGTTTTTTTTTTTATAGAATATTTTTGACGAGATTAAAACATAATTTTTGACGAATTTTTTAATGAAATTTTAGACGAGCTGTTTAAAGTTAATTTTAGACGCATTTTCTATTTAAAGGACATTTTCGACGAACTTTCTATAAAATTAATTTTCGACGAATTTTTTCATTAAAGAAAATTTTATACGAGTTTTCTATTAAAATAAATTTTTGGACGTATTTTTATTGAAAGATAATTTTAGACACACTTTTTATTTAAAGACATTTTTCTACAAATTTTTTCATTAAAGAGAGTTTTATATAAGTTTTCAAAAAAGTTAAGAGTTTTCAATTAAAAGAAAATTTTCTACGATTTTTTTCATTAAAGACAATTTTATACGAGTTTTCATTTAAAGTCTCTATTTAAAGAAAATTTTCAACAAACTTTCTATTAAAGTAAATTTTCGACTAATATTTTTATTAAAGAAATTTTTATACGAGCTATAATAAAATTTTGGACGTATTTTTTTAAAAGATAATTTTAGACGCACTTTCTATTTAAAGAAAATGTTTGGCGAACTTTCTATTACAGCAAATTTTCGACGAATATTTTCATTAAAGAAAAGTTTTCGATTAAAAGAAAATTTTGGACGAATTTTTATTTAAAGAAAATTTTCGACAAACTTTTTCGACGAATTTTTTCATTAAAAAAAATTTGTTCTTCGATTTTTCTCAAAATTTTTTTTGAAAATGTTTAATGAATTTTGTATTTTAAGAAAGTATTCAATGAATTTCAAAGAATTTTCTATTTATAAAAAAATTTTCTTCTTAAAAAAGTTTAGACAAATATTCTATTTAAAGAATTGTAAATTTTCGACTTTCTATTTCACAAAAAAACTTCGATGTATTTTATATTTAAAAAATATTCGATGAAATTTGTTTTTATAGAAAATTTTCGACGAATTCTCTATTTAAAGAAAATTTTTCGATAAATATTTTATTTAAAAATATTTGAATGAATTTTCTCTTTATAGAAAACTACAACGAATGTTTAAATAAGTTTCTTTTTTTACGATTTTCTACTTATAGCGTCTTTTAGACCAATTTGTTCTTTAAGGAAAATACGAATTTTCTACGAATTTTCTCTTATACAAAAATATTGAAGAATTGTCTATTTCGACGATATTTCTATTTATACAATTTGATGAATTTTGTAGGTTATAGAAAATTTTCGACGAATTTTTTATTAAAAAAAACTTTCGACGAATTGTGCATTTAAATAAAATTCCTTTTAAATGCGATATAAAAAGAAACTGGTCGAAAACTTTCATTAAATAGAAAATTCAACGGACAAATTTTCTATAAATATTTTCAATAAATATTCTATTTAAAAAAAAAAAAAATTTTGATGAATTTTATTTTTATAGAAAATCAACGACGAATGTTCAACTAATTTTCTTTTAAAAGAAAAATTTTTACGATATTTTATTTACAGCGCCTTTTAGACCAATTTGTTCTTTAAAGAAAATATTCCACGAAATTACTTTTTAAAAAATAAATTTCGACGAATTTTTTCTATAACAGAAAATATTGAAAAATTGTCTATTTAAAGAAAATTTTCATCGAATTTCGACGATATTTCTATTTATACAATTTGATAAATTTTTAGGTTATACAAAATTTTCGACGATTTTTATATATAAAAAAACTTTCAACGAATTAAGCATTTAAATCAAATTCTTCTAAAATGCGCTATAAGAAGAAACTCTTCGAAATTTTTTTTAAATAGAACATTTATCGGACAAATTTTCTATTAAAACTTTCGATTAAAATAATTTTTCGATGACTTTTCTATTAAAAAAAAAACATTTGACAAATTTTCGATCAAAAGAGGTTTAAAGCAAAATTTTCTATTTAAAAAATATTTCGACGTGATTTTATTAGATTCTTTTTTAATTTTGATTTTATATTTAAAAAAAACTTTCGACGAATTGAGCATTTAAATAACATTCGTCTAACATGCGCTATAAGAAGAAACTCGTTGAAAATTTTCTGTAAATAGAATATTCATCGGACGATTTTTCTATAAAATTTTCGACGAATTTTGCATTCAAATAAAATTAGTTTAAAATGCACTATAAGAAGAAACTCGTCGAAAAATTTCTGTAAATAGAACATTAATCGGACGATTTTTCTATAAAATTTTCGACGCATTTTGCATTAAAATAAAATTCTTAAATGCGCTATAAGAAAAAACTCGTCGAAAAATGTCTGCAAATAGAACATTTATCAGACGAATTTTCTATTAAAACTTTCGACGAATTTTTATTAAAACAATCTTTTTGTAGAAAATTCTTAATTTCTGTTAATTTTCAAATTCGCTTTATAAATTGACTTTGTATTGAAATTAGTTGGAATTTTTTTGAGCAAATTTATTATTAAAAATTTTGCTGGGATATCTGTTTAGAATAATATATGTACATAATTCCAGTGTATATAAATGGATTAGGGTGAGTACACAATAATTTGCGGAATAATAAAGTAAATTTGGCAGAAAATCTCTTAACAAACAAACGTTAAATTTCTTTATAAACGTTGATTTTAAGAGAATATTTTATTATTTAAATTAGACATCTGGTTATCTAGAAAAAACTAAATACCAACAAAAAAAAAAAGAAATTCCCTTTTTGGGCTAAAAATAAAGTGAGTAAGAGTAATTTAGACAAAAACACACAAAAAAAGAAAAAGAAAAATAAAAACAAAATATATTAGACAAAAAATAAATTTGCTTAATGACTTAAATAATTTACTTAGTTAGAAGATACATTTTATGGCAGTAAATGCAAATCACTGAAACCAATTACTCATAAACAAATTGGAAATAAAAAGTAAATTTGTTATCTTTCATTTTTTTAACATTCAACCCATAATGATGACTTGTTTAACAAAATTTACGATAAAAAAAAATGTTGTTTTCAAGACATAATTGTGTAGATACACTTGTTAGAAAAACTTTAAACAAATGTTGATAATGTTTTACATAATTTGTTTAAGTTTTTAAAATAGCATGATAAAATATATTACTATACAACAAGTTAAATATAATGTAATTAACAAAAAAAGGTTTTTTTTTTATAAATTTTGGCATTAAATGTCTATATAACTAAAAAAAATGTACTCGAATTGTTATCAATATAATTTTCTAAACTTAATAGATAATAATAAAATTATATAAAAAATCCATGTCGTAGGAGGTGTGTTTGATAATTATTTAATAAATTATTTCAAATAATTATTTCAAATAGGTGTATGTATGTATATACTTTGCAAATCAAATAATTTTGCAAAATTTATTTATCAGATTATTTTGATTATTATTTCGCCTTTTGTTATTTAATTGTCAGTATGACAAATATATCAGAATGTGTAAATCCCATGAACAATTAATTTGCTAACTCTCTAATTTGTTTAAAATTATATTAAAATGCAAGTCATTTATTTTAACAGAGAGTTAGTGATTTTTAGCAGTGAGTAACACTAGCGAGAGTTGGTGAGAGAATTGAGATTTAGTAAAAAGATCGACTTTAAAACTTTGTTTAAATTAGTTTGTAGACGAAATGTTAAACAATAATTTACTTATGAGTGAGTATTTTTAAGTTATAGTTTATAGCAGTCATGGGCAAACACATACCACCATGTGTATATTTGTGTGCGTTAAGCAGCAGAGAGATGACTGCACGTTATAACAAAATGGTGGTACACTGAGAAAAGTTTTGAAATTTGTTTTCTATTGCAAATACTTTTTACGACGAGAAAAACTCATGAACTTTTGGGCATTTTAAACAAAAATGGAATAAAGGGAAAGAGTTTTTCATTTAAGAAAAGTAGTAGTATTTTTAAAAAGTAGTATTAAATAAAACTACTGAAATATCATTAAGAAAATCACGACTTTCTATTCGATTTCGATATTACCGAGATATTAACTGAACTTAATTTAAAGTTCAACTAATCTATCCAAATCAATGTTTCCTTTATATTCCTTAATACGCAATAAGTCACCAATGTGTTGATCGGTTAACCTATTCCGCAATTTACTTAAAATCAGTTTCATACTTGAGAATGCCACCTCACAGTTATATGTGGTGCCAAACATGGAATATAGCTTATATATTTCGTTTTTTAAATTGAAATATTTTGTATCATCTATCTTTTGCCAAAATTTTTCCCCAGATTCCATAGGAACTTCAAAATCATTACGCATTTTATGCAATTCTTCGTGAAGAAAAGCATTTTGCTCTTCTATTTCACATCTAAGGGGATTATCATGTATTTCTATTGTTTTTTTTTATAAATTTTAAGTCTTGAAATCTGTCATTGTAATTCTTTTTTATGGACTCAACTATTTTGGCGTATTTCTGAATACAATCAAACGTATTAAAATTAAATTCTATGAATATTGATGAAGTTTTCTTAAGATTTGATATACTATTACTTTTTAATTGATTTATTAAGAGATCTAATTTTGTACTAAATTGGTGAATAATTCTATTCAAATGAAATATTTTTATATTTTTACCTTGCAGGCATAAATTAAGGTCATTTAATATCTCGGTAATATCACATAAAAATGCGAAATCTAATAGAAAGTCGGGATTTTCAAGACAATTAGTAAGGTGTTTTGTATCTTTATTGGATAAAGTTTTTAAAAATTCGAGTACTTCTTTTCTTAAATGGAAAAGTCTTTCCAAACTTTTGCCTCGATTTAGCCAACGGACTTCGGTATATAAAAGTAAATCTCCATAATCCGAATTAAGGTTTTCTAAAAAATCTTTAAATTTTCTGTGTGTCAGAGAATTGTGCCCCCCTCTTATTATATTTATTATTTTTACAATAACATCCATTGTATTTTTCATACCCAACTCTTTGGAGAAAAGAGCTTGTTGGTGTATGACACAATGGAATGCTGGGCAATTTATTCCATTTTTGTTTAAAATGCCCAAAAGTCCTTTATTTTTGCCTCTCATTACCTTTGCTCCATCCGAACATATTGAGGCTAATTTATTTTTGTCAGCAAATGCAAAAACATTAACATATAATGCATCATACAGAACTTGTCCTGTTACATGACCATGAAGTGAAACCACTTCAAACATTTCTTCGAAGCACTCTAAATTTGCATTAACTGTTTTAATACAAATAATTAACAGGCAAATATTATTGATATCCGTACTCTCATCTAGAGAAATCGAAAAATATTTGCAATTAATTAATCTTTCTTTTGCTGACATTTTAATAAATTTGCTTATATCTTCCGTTCTTCTTGTTATAGTACGACGAGATAATGGTATATCCTGGCAGAGTTTCATAGTTTCATGGCATTTTTCTCCAAAACAACTCAAAATATCTGTAGTTAAATTTAAGAAAAAAATGCCATCCTCTAATGGGCGACATTGTTTTGCTAACGATAAAGCAACTACATAAGATGCCTTTTTATGAGGCAATGATTTTTTTTGGCTATTTAAAGGAAGATTGTTGCAATTATTTGCTGTTGTTTCATTAATTATAAATTTTAAGAAAAACTCTGCTTTTAATTGCAACAACTTTACTTTTCTGTCATGTCCCCTAAGGTCATTTAAGGGTCCATGGCAAGTTTCATAATGCCTTTTCAAAAAAATAAAGCTTTTCTACATATAATTTTATAACATACGACGCATTGTGCCTCACCGTCCATGTTTTCTATAAAATAGAAATCATTTTCCGAATTTATATCAAACATTTTGCTAGGTGTAATAAAAGAGAAAAAATCATAAGCATAAAAAAATCCGCAACGTGATCTTGCTTCTACAAAAGCTGAACAGCAACTGATTTGATTTTGATCTCTGAGATCGTAACAAAGCAACAAACAAGTGGTCATTTTAGTAAAACACAGACACACTAATACACACACAAGCTTATAGTGTAGGTGTGTCAACAAAGCGTCAGCAGAATTTCTTGGCCTATGCACGCGTGCATTAGAATTTCAGTTTTGCTCGTGACTGGTTTATAGTCTAGTCTATAGTCTAGTTTATTGTCTAGTCTATAGTCTAGTTTATAGTCTAGTCTATAGTCTAGTCTATAGTCTAGTCTATAGTCTAGCCTATAGTCTAGTCTATAGTCTAGTCTATAGTCTAGTCTATAGTCTAGTCTATAGTCTAGTCTATAGTCTCGTCTATAGTCTAGTCTATAGTCTAGTTTATAGTCTAGTCTATAGCCTAGTTTATAGTCTAGTCTATAGTCTAGTCTATACAGGTACAAAACTATAGAATATAGACTAGACTAGACTATAAACTAGACTATAAACTAGACTATAGACTAGACTATAAACTAGACTATAGACTAGACTATAAACTAGACTATAGACTAGACTATAGACTAGACTATAGACTAGACTATAGACTAGACTATAGACTAGACTATAGACTAGACTATAGACTAGACTATAGACTAGACTATAGACTAGACTATAGACTAGACTATAGACTAGACTATAGACTAGACTATAGACTAGACTATAGACTAGACTATAAACTAGACTATAGACTAGACAATAAACTAGACTATAGACTAGACTACAAACTAGACTATAGACTAGACTATAAACTAGACTATAGACTAGACTATAGACTAGACTGTAGACTAGACTATAGACTAGACTATAGACTAGACTATAGAATAGACTATAGACTAGACTATAGACTAGACTATAGACTAGACTATAGACTAGACTATAGACTAGACTATAGACTAGACTATAGACTAGACTATAGACTAGACTATAGACTAGACTATAGACTAGACTATAGACTAGACTATAGACTAGACTATAGACTAGACTATAGACTAGACTATAGACTAGACTATAGACTAGACTATAGACTAGACTATAGACTAGACTATAGACTAGACTATAGACTAGACTATAGACTAGACTATAGACTAGACTATAGACTAGACTATAGACTAGACTATAGACTAGACTATAGACTAGACTATAGACTAGACTATAGACTAGACTATAGACTAGACTATAGACTAGACTATAGACTAGACTATAGACTAGACTATAGACTAGACTATAGACTAGACTATAGACTAGACTATAGACTAGACTATATAGACTAGACTATAGACTAGACTATAGACTAGACTATAGACTAGACTATAGACTAGACTATAGACTAGACTATAGACTAGACTATAGACTAGACTATAGACTAGACTATAGACTAGACTATAGACTAGACTATAGACTAGACTATAGACTAGACTATAGACTAGACTATAGACTAGACTATAGACTAGACTATAGACTAGACTATAGACTAGACTATAGACTAGACTATAGACTAGACTATAGACTAGACTATAGACTAGACTATAGACTAGACTATAGACTAGACTATAGACTAGACTATAGACTAGACTATAGACTAGACTATAGACTAGACTATAGACTAGACTATAGACTAGACTATAGACTAGACTATAGACTAGACTATAGACTAGACTATAGACTAGACTATAGACTAGACTATAGACTAGACTATAGACTAGACTATAGACTAGACTATAGACTAGACTATAGACTAGACTATAGACTAGACTATAGACTAGACTATAGACTAGACTATAGACTAGACTATAGACTAGACTATAGACTAGACTATAGACTAGACTATAGACTAGACTATAGACTAGACTATAGACTAGACTATAGACTAGACTATAGACTAGACTATAGACTAGACTATAGACTAGACTATAGACTAGACTATAGACTAGACTATAGACTAGACTATAGACTAGACTATAGACTAGACTATAGACTAGACTATAGACTAGACTATAGACTAGACTATAGACTAGACTATAGACTAGACTAAGACTAGACTATAGACTAGACTATAGACTAGACTATAGACTAGACTATAGACTAGACTATAGACTAGACTATAGACTAGACTATAGACTAGACTATAGACTAGACTATAGACTAGACTATAGACTAGACTATAGACTAGACTATAGACTAGACAATTAGCCCACAGAGTGGAACCATCTTATAATAAGATTTCTGTAGTTAAGTTTATTTTATATCGATACCGATTTGCATTTATAAGGTAATAAATCTCGGCGATTTCATCATTTTTTTTCAATAGATAAATGTTTAAAATATTTACAAACAAATTGGCAAAAACTTTATCAAAAATCATTAAAACAAATAACTCATTGATAAGAAAAACTGTAAGTAATCCCTGCGCTCATTTAATGATTTAACAAAAATAAAATTATTTAGGCAAATTTTCAATGTAACTATGAACATTTAAAACATTAACTAAAATAAACTGCAATAAGAAATTACGTGTGGTCCCCTATAACTCTCCAGGATGTTAAGGAAACAACTACTTTTTGGCGTCTTAACGAAAAAGAAAACACATGTTGCAACAAGGCGCTGCAACTTCAATGATTGTGAAAGGAGACAGAGTGCAGAGTGTTGGAACTTAACAAATTTACCGAAAAACGCCCACTATTTAATGAGATATTTTACGCATCGACTTGCCAGCAAACACACGTGTAAAAACATTTGTTACCTGTTGTTAAACAAACTGATGCTACTCCTGACAACCAGATTTAACTGACCATCATGATAATTTTACATATACGTATGTATGTATTTTTTGAGTGTGTGTTGTGTTATCACGAACGAGTAAAGAGTATTAAGTGAAACAAGATTAATTTAAGGATTTTCCCACTTTAAATCGGATTAACCCATAATAATCATTAGGTGGTTAAAGAAAATCTTTTGATTTTTATTATTTTTTACAAAAGAAAATTGTAGCATTTTGGGAAAATTAAATAAATATTATTTAAATATTTCATGAATTTAAACACAAATTGAATTTCATCATAAAATTATGGTCGAAATATTTTGAAGAGCATAGACTATTGATAAGAAAATGATATAAGTTTTAGCAAATTTTTGTTTGTACTGATTAAGGAATGAGAACAGTTAAATAAGTATTATGGAAATATTCGAACATTTTAAAAAACCCGGAAAAGAAGTAAAATAATCATTGTGTTTCTATTTATAAAGTATAATTCTAGTTCTTGAACCTGAAATCGTTTTGAGAAAGAAGTAAGAAAGTGTAGCCTGTTAATCCCCACTATATGTAAAATTATACCTATATAATATATCTACAGATTTCAATGTTTGCTTCCGAATAGGAGTTCATCTATTCGGAAGCAAACATTGAAATCTGTAGATTTAAAAGACATTCATGTGTCGATGCTTACAAGTGACTTATTCAAGTTTAAGTGAAATTCGAAGCAGGTCTTGAAACTATGGCAATTTATCGGCCGATTGTCAAGTTTTGTAACAATATTTGTTATGAAGTCATTGTATTGAAAAGATTTTCGGAGAGTCCAAATATGAACCTGAACATATGAAAGTTCATACAAGTCCTCAATCTTAAGCATTGACAGAAGTATATTTCAGACTTCAAGACGTTCCCTACAAGTAAGGAATCGGACTGTGAATTATTACCGTATCCCCTTAAAAATTGCTTCAAGTTTTAACATATTACATTAGTGGACAGGGTCACTGGGGACCTAGAATACTTAAAATACTTCAGTGTTTTAGTAAATATTTAACAGGAACTTTCAGAAAATATATCGATCCTCAGGTATTGAAAAGTTCCAGACATAACAGCCCCGTCAACAAAAAAAAAAACTGAACGATTAGGAAAAAGAAATTATTTGGCTCTATCGAAACTCTAGTCCAACTTATCTTACACATCCTGTTTCATTTCGAAAAGGTTCTGAATCTGGGAGAAGATTGAATTTGGGGACCTTCCGTTGCAAAAGTAAGGCCTTCAGTCTGAGCGAATTTTTTGACAGTTGTATAGCTACAGTTTTTGAAAATCCTCCACGGAAAGTATCAGTTAAACTAAGCAGATTTTCTAGAATTCAATTAAGTCCAGGCTTAATGGCCTTATATTAACAAAATGCACCAAATTGAATCAGAAATTGTTTGACTCATTTAGATTAACTGTCTAATCCAACATGTTTGTAACGGTTTTTAGCTGATATCGATCTAAAGGACTTAAATCGGGAGAAGATTTCAATATAAAAGATTTAAAATTTAGAGAAGATTGAATTTAGAATCTGTTTTGGAAAAGAAAGGTCTTTAGTCGGTGCGGAGCTACTTTATCTGTGGTGTATTGGCAATGCATGTCTTAAAGTTTTTAGAAATCCTCCAACGAAAGTATATGGAAAACTATTCAGATTTTCTGGAATTCAAGAAAGTTCTGGCTTAAGTGGTCTGATA